TTTAATGAAGAGCAGTGACAACAAAGAGATTGAGTACATTCTCCCAGGGCTGTCGCAATAAACCAGAGGCTGAGACATCAGTATGGTCAGCCCTTGATAAGCAGGAGCTGTTGAAGGGTATGTAAGGAAATGGGTGTGTGTGTGTAAACTGATCCAAGTAGAAAATTCCTTCAATGGTATTTATGCCCTATTTGCAAGCTTAAATCTTTCCGTCCCTCCTACTAGCTGAGAAAATAAAGACTAAAAAACTGAATGAGTATTAATGATGAATGCCATGTTTGAAAGCTCTATACCTCAGTAAAAAATGTTTGCTGGAGTTAGGTAACAATTTCTTAAGTTACAGGAATCACCATGTGTACTTTATTAAAGATATAAACTCCAAAAAAAAAAAAAAAGACACAAACTCCCCGGGGGCCATAACCACTCAAGACACTTTGGGTGGGATTTCATGATTCTTCCCTGTGTTCTTTTTCAACTAAGTTATTTGCCTTTTTTTTTTTTTAAGATTTATTTATTTTTATGGCAAAGTCCAATATACAGAGAGGATGAGAGACAGAGAGGAAGATCTTCTGTCCGATGATTCACTCCCCAAGCGACCACAACGGCTGGTGCTGTGCCGATCCGACACCAGGAGCCAGGAGCTTTCTCCAGGTCTCCCACATGGATGCAAGGTCCCAAGGCTTTGGGCCGTCCTTGACTGCTTTCCTAGGCCACAAGCAAGGAGTTGGATGGGAAGTGGAGCAGCTGGGACTAGAACTGGCTCCCACATGGGGTCCCAGCGTGTTCAAGGCAAGGACTTCAGCTGCTAGGCCATTGTGGCGGGTCCTTTTTCAAAAAAGTTGTTTTACTTACTTGAAAGACAAACAGAGAGTAGAGAGAAGAGAGAAATAGGGAGAACTATCTTCCATCTGCTGGTTCATTCCCCAAGTAGCCACAACAGCTGGAGCTGAGCCAATCTGAAGCCAGGAGCCAGGAGCTTCTTCTGGGTCTCCCATGTGGATGCAGGGGCCCAATGACTTCGGCGATCCCCTGCTGTTTCCCTATGCTATAAGCAGGGAGCTGGAAGTGGAGCAGTGGGGATTCGAACTGTGCCCATATGAGACTTGCTACCCACCATGTCAAAGCAGCAGTCTCTTCCATGTGTTCTGAAACCAAAATCATGCAAACTCTATTCTGGTCACAGCGTGGCCTGGCTCACCTCCTGTGCTTTGCTTGTCTCCCCCTGCCCAGGGCTTCACTCCTGTTTTTACATTTCAGTAGTGGTTACTTCTCAACATAATGATGTAATGGTCACATAGTTTGTTATTTATGGACAAAAATCTGCTGAAGCCACACTATTCCTGCAGGTGCATGATAATGACACAGTTGGATATCTGGAAAAATGTCCGAGGACTGGTATCTGACACACAGAGCGTGTGTTGATCCACCGTTGCAGAAATGATTAGATGAATAAGATTCATGCATCGGTGTAAAATGGCACAAGAGCCAAATGGAAACATGCCAACTGTTTCAAAATAGTTGGCGGAAGTGACACCGAATAGTTGGCTTATTATCCTTGTGTTATTCTCAGAGTGCGATCATTATCTTGTTTTCATAAGGTGAAAAGGAGTAAGTTTTGGGGCAAAAACCTTTTAATTTTACATTTCAGAAATGTAATTTTCCCTAGCGATTCTAACATCTTCATGAATAACACGTGATGTTCTAAGGTTATGTTTGATTGCATTTGTTTTAAATTGAATGATTTTCCCATTTTTATGTATGACAGCTGAAGACTGTATTTTATCATATTATTTCTTACCCATAAAAGGACACCTCCCCAAAAAGGATAAGGCGTGCTCCTTGGGAAAGGGGTGGGGTTTTCTCTTAAGCATGTCTGGAATGCCCCCTTGTGGTCACTTGCCAGTGCATCTGAGGCCACTCCAGGACTTACATGCTGGCCATGACCCCCTGGCCAGCCCTGGCTAGCTTAAGAGCAGAGCCTCCGGACCCCGCCTGGTGGGGCCAAGTCAGGGAGGGAGCGAGAAAGCTGTAGTGCAAGATTTCCCTCTGTCATGGCTGGCAGCAGGCTGCTGTGGACCCAAGATGGCCGAGTTCATGGACACCAGCCTACTCAGGAAACACCATAACGCTTCTCTGGCGACACTGTCCAGTTTGGGACACTGAGTTTCTTTCCTGAAATCCATCGCAAACCCAGGGGAAGCAGTAAGCATGGCATCGTCAAGCTTGCATCACCAGACAGCTGGTTCATATAAAAAGCACATTGCCAACCAAGGACTGTGCAAGGCTGTGAGCCCAATAGAAACGTGCTGTGACCTCTCTCTGAAGGGCAACCTTCCCAGCTCCCAAGGGGCAGGCGGTGCCCATGTGCAGAAACTCCAACATTATCCCATGCCAGAATTTTCACTGTGAGACATTCAGTGTGGAACTGCAGTTTCTGAAGATGGCCCCCAAAATGTATGTTTTTAAAAATCAAGCATTTGATCAAATGTCTTTGCTTACGGCTAAAGCTAAGAATCATCTTGGGCTCGTGCTGTGGCACAGTGGGTTGTGTTACCACCTGAGATGCAGCCCTGCACATGAGCAGCAGTTTGAGTCCCTGCTGCTCCACTTCTGACCTGACTCCGCACTGATGTGCTGTCCAGCCCAAGTGCTCAGGCCCCTGCTCCCATGTGGGAGACCTGGATGAAGCTCTGGGTTCCTGGCTTTATCCTGGCCCAGCCCTGGCCATAGTGACCGTTCACGTTATTTTTTTTTCACATTTGGGGAGTGAAACAGTGAACAGAAAATCTGTCTTCTATCTTTTTGTAACCCTGCCTTCCAAATACATATGCATATATATGTATGGATACATACATGCATAGATGCAATATAATACACATATTTTAGAATATTGAATATAAAAGCAATGTTTTATAGCAGTAATTCTTATCAAGTAAATACCCTACCCAAGCCTGGGGTATGCTTATGAAATGCCTAGGGTGGTTAAAACCATCTAAGACATAAATGTACAAAACAAAGCTAAGATTCTACTGCTTATCACCCCAGAAATATATATGTCAATGGTCAGTGCTCTGGATTGGTGACTGTTTTTCTTTTGAGTCACACATGAGGCGGCTTTAAAAAAAATTCACAAAATGGAATTAAAAAGGCTTTTGGGGTGCAAAAAATTTTTTTGATATCTATGTATCCTATGCCTACGTAGCATTTCTTCCACAAACCTTGTGGAGACCTATGGTCAAGGTGCCATGCTGAATTTCAGGTGGAAATCTGACTTGCTTATTCATTTTATATCTAGTGAGGCAGGAGACAGGTAGGGTCTTGGAAAGACAGCAAGAAAAAGGAACATTTTTTAAAAAGTTTTTAAAAAAATTCACTGAACCTGTTTGTTGAACTTGATTAAACTGCTTGATTTACCAGCTTAAAAATGCCAGTGCAGAGGGCCTGGCACACTGGCCTAAAGTCCTTGCCTTGAATGCACTGGGATCCCATTGGGCGCCGGTTCTAATCCCAGCAGCCCCACTTCCCATCCAGCTCCCTGCCTGTGGCCTGGGAAAGCAGTTGAGGACAGCCCAAAGACTTGGGACCCTGCACCCGCATGGGAGACCTGGAGGAAGTTCCTGGCTCCTGGCTTCGGATTGGTTCAGCTCTGGCTGTTGCCATCACTTGGGCAGTGATTCATCGGACAAAAGATCTTCCTCTCTGTCTCTCATCCTCTCTGTATGTCGGCTTTTGCAATAAAAATAAATCTTTAAAAAAAATGCCAGTGCGGAAAGCTATGAACTCAAAGCCAGCCTACCTGCTTGCACAGACAGCAGCCAGGGTAGGACAGAAAGCCCTAACTGCTAAACCAAGGCAGTAGACAACTGGATACAACCTTGCAAAGTGCATAATGACAGGGCCATGGCATGAAGAGAGGTCCAAGAACAGCCCAGGAAGGGCAGCAGCCCTCCACTCAGGTCCAGAGCTTTCAACCCAGGACACCCAGCTGGAGGCCATCTGGCAGCATCCTCTTTCCACCCAAAACTTCTGGCAGAGTTTCTCTAAGAAGGACTTGCTGTCCCTTACTCACCAATTTGAACTCCCACCAAGGGGGCTCTGGAGCAAAACTAGAACTCTCCCTCCTCTCCCACCTGCCCTGAACGGTGTACTTTGCTCTTGGGAGGGGACCTAGGCTGCCCGTGCTTGCTGTGTGGCTGCGCCAGTGTCTTATCTGTGCTTCCAAATCTCTGTCCTTCACACCTAAACTTCCCAAACATCACAGGGGGCGAGAACCTGCCTGCGTTCAGTGCTCTAGGACTTTATGACATGGGTAGACAGGGACCAGGAGCACTGAATGCTGTGCTGGGTGACTGAGCTTTCAGCCAAACCAACAAGCCAACAGCGCCTTCCCAACCCCTTACATCTCTCCCAACCCCTTACAACAAAGAGTTGCATCTCTTTCTCTCTGCCAGGAACCAAGACAAACAAGTTGGTTTCCAATGCCGTAATTTCATCTCTCTCAATCAATCAGGGAACATTCCCTCATTAAAAAAAAAAAAAGAAAAAAAGCATTTCAAACCCCTGTAGGTACCAGCTCTGTCCCTCGGGACTGCTGTGAACTTTTCCTTTGTCTATCACTGAATAATCTTACCTTTCTGCTCATCTTCCTCTGTTCACATGGTTCATTCTTCATGACCAGGAGACAAGGAACAACTCAATGGAACAAAAGAGTTGGCATCCAAAAGAGCTACAACATTTCTACAAATTGAGCAAACAGGAAGACCTGTGACAACTTGACAAAGACAGGTTCAAGGTCCTTCAAGATCTCAAGGGACCCATGATTGGCCACTCATCCTTGCCACCTGCCAGCCAGAGACCAGCTGCGTCCCTTGCCAGAGCATACAAGTCCAAACATCTGGCCACAGGTGGCCACCATCATTTGGTCTTCTTTGTGTTTGCCTCAATGTATACTGGGCAATGTTTTCAGGAGGAGAAGTAATGTTCTCTGCTCAGGGAAGGGGTACGGAACAGAGAAGTTTATTTTACACTATCTGTCCGAGAAAACAATCGCCATAAACCAGTGCAAAATGTGCAACAGAATCAATAAGTGTGTCTTAGCTCTGAGAGCCCAAACTGGTGACTTCTCTCTCATTCCCTTGGCCGGGCAGGTGCCCCCTGCCTTGGCTAATGCTGGCCTTGGTTTGTACCCGAGACAGAAACACCCAACCCATGTGTAGCAGGTTATTTTTTTACAATTCATACCGGAATGTGTACAAGGGACGGGGTCAGGGGGAACCATACCGAATGAATGATAAGCCATCAGTGCTGAACGTAACTACGAGGGGCTGCATGGGGCAAGAGTCCACAGTTCTCAATAAATATAGGTGTAACAAGCATGGGTGTATCTCAACGTGGTGGAACTGACCATCTGCATCATAAATCGGCATCATACAAAATCTAGCAGGGCCGTCGAACAGTGGTTGGTAAAAAGGAAAAGAAAAAAAAAACAACAAAACCGCTCACAATAACTTATGGCCTTGAGCGAGTCTGCGTTGAACACATTCTGTGGTTCCAAAGGTGTCAGTTCTCTGTTCTCTCCTTCCCAGAGGCCGTGTCTCCAGGAGGGGAGGGTGCAGTGAGGCCAGAGTGGCAGCAGTGTCCCCCTATGGCCCCCTCCTCCATGAGGAAGGACGTTTGCCCAAGAGCCAGTCGTCAGGGTCCAGTGTACTCGATATCAAGTGGCAGATTGGGACTTGTTGACAACATCTGTGCAAAAATGCGCTTCTCTCCATTTTCCAAGAAACCAGTGTCTGGACCTCCTGTGTGAAAGGCAGGGGAGGCCACTGCCCGTGGTCCCCCGGCCCTCCCACATACCAAGCAACAAGAGCACACCTCGGGGACACATACGCATTGGGAAAGCTTCTGTCATTGACTGCCTGGCACCTTGCGCAGGGACAGCCTGAAACTTGTCACAGGCTTCAGGCAGGCTAGAACTATTGCTTAGAGAAACTCGAGAGAACCTAGTAAGAAAGAGATGGGGAGATGGACAAGGAGAGAGGGGCACCATCTTCCTCCATCCCTCTCTCGGCAATGTGCCGTTCTCCCCCCTCCCCCACCCCTGCCACTTCCCAAGGCTCCAGCCCGGTGTCCGTCAGTGGGCAGCAACAGTCAATGCATTCCTTCCCTGTGGCCTCATTCTGTGCCTCTCCCACTAAGCACTCCCACCAGGGATGGTGGTGCCCCCTCAGGGCACTGATAATCCCAAGCCCAGGGAAAGGAAGAGGGGAGCGTTCTCCCCTAGTGACACAACCCCAACACCCAGTCACCAAGTAATCAGCCTAAAATATAATCCTAACACTCCAGCTCTATTGCTTCAATAGTCTCCCCACATAAATTAGGTTCATCATCTGGCAAATAACTTAAGAAAAGGAGGAGAGACTGTTAAGAAGTTGTGCCTGGCTTGGGCCAGTTAGCAGCCAGTTCTGTTTTGTTTTGTTTTGTTTTTCCTAGAATCTCAGTCACGGTTCAGAAACGGAGCTTAAAAATTCACGTGGGGACTGAGCGTCTTCACACGGAGAAGAGGGGTTGATGGGGGGAGGTAGGTAGGACCTAAGAAGACTGGGGGAGCTGCCTTCCCGAGGTGGTGGTGGCAGGGAGGGCAGAAAGAGCTTGGACCACCAGGACGAGAGAGGAGGCTGCCTGCGGACAGCTCGGGAGACAGACGCCACGGCCCTGCGGAGAGGGGGGGCCTACGTGACTTGGGATGTGGCTGGGTCTCGTATTGCACAGAAAAGAAGGAACAGCCTGGTGTGGGAGGCCTGGCAGTCAGTGGTCGCCACACATGGGCAAGTTCACAAAGGTGAACACGTTGAACTCCGTCATAATGGAGAAGCACAGGAACACACCATACAGGAACAGGCACCCGCAGCCCAGCTTCTTGTCCAGCTGCCACTTGTTCAGGTGGACGCCAAACACCTGCAAACACAGAGAAGGCCTCAGTGGGTACTGGGAGGGGGGTTGCAGTGGCTACGGGGCCTTGGGGTGGCCCAGGCGAAGAGCTGATCCTGGTGGGCACTGAGCAGGTACAGGTGGTCTTATGAGAGGCAGCACCATGGGAATGAAGACCAGAGGAAAGTCTGGGGTCCAACCCCCATGTGGACAGCACCCATGCTATGGTGGTTTCTCCTGGGTGGGGTCCTCTCCACGGAGGCCCTAATGGACCCTGGCTCTCACCTGAAGGTGTCATCCCCTGCCATTCATCCAAAAATCTTTCTACTTTCTTCCTGAGACTCTGCCTGGGAATGATGGGGTGGTCCCCCTTGCCCTGCCCTGCTGCTTCCAAACCAAGTTGCTTTTCTCTCCCTAAAAACAGTACACAATCTCACAGTGCAGAGTCTCACAGTCTCTGATGGCTGCCTTCTGTCCAGCCTGTTAGCAGCTAGCCATGTGAGCCTGGTTATATCTCCACGGGCACAGCACAACTCACTTTGCTCTTCAAGCTGCTGCATCCTTCTGCACGGAACTCGTTCCCATTTCACACAGCCCCCACTGCTCCCTACGCCCAGCTTCTTTCTTACTGTGCAAGTCCCACTACCCACGGCCAAGTCCAAGTGTGAGCAAGTTCCCAAGTCTCATACACCCCATCACCCTAACCTTGGGTCACTCCACTGGCATGTAGGAATGCTCTTATCTTTCCTATCTTGAAAAAAAAAAGGAGGAAAACAATGTTTTTCTGGATTTCCATTTCTTTTAGCCCTTGATAGTCAAAGAACTTGAAAGCTGTAACTAGCAGTCTCCAATCTCTCATCAATTATCTATCATCTGTTAGTTCATTCCATTTAGGCTTCTGGCATCATTCACAATCAAAGCACCATGGTTAAGAGCTCCATGACTGCATTTCTGGTACTGATAACCAACAGTCAGAACTCGTCTCCCTGGACACGACTGTGGCTTCCTCCAGGCTGCCATACTTTCCCGCTGTGTCTCTGTATCTTCAGAAACTTTATCCTTCCCTCTCTCACCTCTAAGCGCTGGAGTACACCAAGACTCAGGTGTTGAACTTTTTGTTTCCCTGTCCACACTCTGTTGGTGACATCATCCAATTCAGAGCTTTAAATAACTACCTGGGGGGTTGGCATCTTGGTGTAGTAGGTTAAGCTTTCCACCTGTGGTGCTGGCATCCTATAAAGGTGCCAATTCAAGTCCTGGTTGCTCTACTTCCAATCCAGGTCCCTACCAATGCTCCTGGGAGAACAGTGGAGGGTGGGCCAAGTGTTTGGGCCTCTGTACCCATCCTGGCTTCAGAAAGTGGTCCAGCTCAGGCCATTGTGACCATTTGGGAAGTGAACCAGTGCATCCAAGATTTCTGTCTTGTCTTCTCTCTAACTCTGCCCTTCAAATAAAAATAAATACATCTTTCCAAAAAGTAGCTACCTACATTCTGGCAGCTTGACCTCTCGGCCTGAACCCAGATTCATGTTTACAACGCTTTCATGGTTCCCTTGGAAGTCTCGGAACTTGGATAGGCGATGCAAACTTCAGATTCTCAAAACCACTTTCCTTCCCCAGATCGTCCCCTTTGTCACCAGCAGCTGCAGGTGGACAATGCATCCAGCAGCTGGCCTGGTCTCCTGTTACTCCTAGGCTGATGGCCCAGTGTGGGTAGAATCACAGCGGCTGGGAGTGTTCCCTGGTGGCCATCAGCTTAGGTGTGTATTCCTTTGGAGTCCATTCCTTCTCTCGGCATCAGCTGTACATGCTGGGCTGGAAATGTGTGACCACCTCACAGGGGACGGGGCATTGCAAAGAGGAAAATGCATGCCAAGCTTCAAGCGCACTGTGGCAAGCATCACTACCCCAAACCTAAACCGCGAATGAACGAATCCTAGAGACTTCTGCACGAGGCAGTGTTTGCTTCGGTAAAATTTGTACAGCTTATTCCCATCCTAAATGACCTCTCTTGCTTCCTGTCTATCCTTCTGAATACCCTTGATCATGAACAACACACCAGGTGAAATTCAACGAATGTCTCCTGCAACAACAAGGAAAACAGGGTCAGGTTCCAGTCTACGAAAGTGATGATTCAACAGCAGTGTGGTATGCTGATGATTTCATGCGGGTCCATCTATGCGTTCAAATGAATTTGTTGCCACCAAACACATCTGTTGGTTGGGGAGATTAAATGACATGAATAAGTGTCAGGACCGAGAAAGTAGCACAGCATAGATGTTCACTGTCAATGAAATGTATTCACAGCCTCTGGGGTATTGGCTGAGTCCCTGGATTTATGGAGATGGACTAACCTCTAGCAACCGATGAACTGAAATCTACTCCCCATAACTAATCTTGCAGAACAGTTAGAAGCTCTTCTTTGTTCCTGATAAAACAGTTCAGGTGTGAAGTCAACTTCTGAAAGGAGGGCTGGCTCCAGGGCGATCACCTCCCGCCAGGAGGGGACGACTGTCTCCCAGCACCAGCTGCTGTCCAAGGAACTAGATGGGGAAACTCAGCAATGGGTAAGAGCTGCAAACCTACCGTGACAAAGACAGAGGCCAGGAGCAGGCCCACGGAGTAGATCAGCCCCCTGCTATTCAGTCGAATCTGCAAGAAAGGATGAAAAAGAATGAGGCTTCGGAGCAGGTGTGGCTTAGTGCAAGGTGCTCATGCAACTGGGTAGTGCACATTCCAGACCTCTGCTCCATGATGGAAAAGCAAGGTGGCCCAGGCAGCCACTCCCTGCTGCTTCCGGTCCTGTGCTTTCCTAGCAACCCAGGCTGCACTCTCGTCCTGCCCACTCTCAGGCCACTTCCAAACCTCGCTTCAACAGGACTGCCCAGCTGGACTGTCCTACGGCCAATATGCTGCACACTGCTTTTAAGTTTTTTGAATTGGCACATGTGTATATATGTCTGTGGGATACAGTGCAAAATTATTTTTATTTAAAGATTTATTTATTTTTATTACAAAGTCAGATGGACAGAGAGGAAGATCTTCTGTCCAATGAATCACTCTCCAAGTGACCTCAATGGCCGGTGCTGTGCTGATCTGGAGCCAGGAGCCAGGAACTTCCTCCAGATTTCCCACACAGGTGCATGGCCCCAAAGCTTTGGGCCGTCTTTGACTGCCTTCCCAGGCTACAAGCAGGGAGCTGGATGGGAAGTGGAGCTGCTGGGATTAGAACAGGCGGCCATATGGGCTTCCGGCTAAAGGTGAGGACTTTAGCTGCTAGGCCATGCTGCTGGGCCCACAAAATTATTTTTAAATATTTAATTTTTATTGGAAATTAAGATATACAAAAAGGAGGAGAGACAAAGAAGAAGATCTGTCCATTGATTCATCCCCCAAGCAGCTACAATGGGCAGAGCTGAGCCAATCCAAAGCTAGGAGCCAGAAGTCTCTTCTGGGTCTCTCATGCGGGTACAGGGTCTTGAGGCTTTGGGTAGTCCTTGACTGCTTTTCCAGATCACAAGAAGGGAGTTGGACGAGAAGTGGAGCAGCTGGGACATGAACTGGTGCCCATATGGGATCCCAGCGCATGCAAGGCGAGGACTTGAACCACTAGGCTACCATATCAGGCCCTAAATTTCATCTTCTACTTCTAGGAGATCAATACTTTTAGCTTCTACAAATGAGAACATCCAGTAGTTGTCCTCTCGTGCCTGCCTTGCTTTACTTGGTATGATGCCCTCCAGTCCCATCCATATTGCTAGAAATGACAGGAATTCACTCTTGGTCTTTTTTTAATTTTAATTTTTTACAATACAGTTCCTTAGGCTCAGGGATTTCCCCTTCCACCATCTCCTACCCTCCCCGCCCCCCACTGTTCCCCTATAACAACAGTATAGTCCTCCAACAACAGACACAGTCCATTATTATCCTATTTGAGTGTACAGACAATGACAGAAACTCCAGCATCCTATTGTCAAGATATACTGAACTTTTTTTTTTAAGGATTTGCTTTGAAAAGCAGATTTACACAGAGAGAAGGAGAGACACAAGAGAGATATCTTCCAACTGCTGGTTCATTCCCCAAATGGCCGCAATGGCTGCAGCTGGGTCAGTCCACAGCCAGGAGGAACCTGGGGCATTTTCCAGGTCTCCCACATGGGTGTGGGGTTCCACGCACTTGGGCCAGCTTCTGCTGCTTTCCCAGGCATCTCAGCAGGGCACTGGATTGAAAGCAGGAGTAGCCTAGAACCCAGCATGATGGCTCAGTGGCTAAAACCCTCGCCTTGAACGTGCCGGAAGCCCATATGGCCGCTGGTTCTAATCCTGGCTGCTCCACTTCCCATCCTGCTTCCTGCTTGTGGCCTGGGAAAGCAGTCAAGGATGGCCCAAGGCCTTGGGACCCTGCACCCATATGAGAGGCCTGGAGGAGGCTCCTGGCATCGGACTGGCGCAGCACCAGCCATTGAGGTCACTTGGGGAGTGAACCAGAGGGTGGAAGATCTTCCTCTCTGTCTCTCCTCCTCTCTGTACATCTGACTTTGTAATAAAAATAAATCTTAAAAAAAAAAAAAAGAAACCAAGAGTCAAGTGTGAATTAAGGTTCAAGTAATTTCTTTGACCAAGTGTTTCCCAAAGGAATCAAGGCTAGCCAAGCTTCTAAACTTGGTCTTCCACCACACTCACACAGTTTTAGAGAATAGGGTTGCTGCTATCCTCGATGGCTCCAAAGACAAAGCAATGAACTTGTAGATTTTCTGAGTGTTTTCAAATTTCTCACTTCATTGTCTGCAGACTTCTCTAGTTAAGATATTAAGGGCTCATGACATATACCCAGTGGGGTCTTCTTGGTTTTTCACTGTTCATTAGCGACCTGGGGAAATCCCTCTGTATTTTCAGAGGTTTAATTTCAGCAACCCCTGGAGACGAGTGCTTAATTCTCTCAAATAACCTATGTACCTGCTACCCTATGCTTTAAACAATCATCTCTAGATTTCTTAGAATGCCAGCTACAATGTAAATGCTGATTGTAAACAAAGATTGTGACCCTGTATTGCTTAGGGAAATACAAGGAAGAAATAAAAGTGTAACAGTACACATGTGACTATTTTTTTTTCTCTGAACATTCCCCATCCTCAGATGGTAGGCCTTGTGGATTCGGACGGCCAGTTTTATCTGTTCCTGGCTGGCTGGCTGGCTGGCTGGCTCTTACCCCTCTGCTTGAACACTCCAGTCAGGAATTAGGGTTCCTCTACTTGTCTGCTGATCCAGCATGCACCCTTTTCCAGCCCCTGGAGACTATGGGATGCATGGTTTAGGGCAGAGGCTGGTAGAGTATGACCTACACACCAAATCTCATCCATTGTCTGGTTTCAACTTAGTTTTTTTTTTTTTTTTAAAGATTTATTTTTACTGGAAAGACAGATTTGCAGAGAGGAGAAACAGAAAGATTTTCATTGGTTCACTCCCCAAATGGCTGCAATGGTCAGAACTGAGCCGATCTGAAGCCCGGAGCCAGGAGCCTTTTCTGGGTTTCCCACGTGAGTGTAGGGTCCCAAGGCTTTGGGCCATTCTTTGCTGCTGTCCCAGGTCATTAAGCAGGAAGCTGGGTGGGAAATGGAGCAGCTGGGATGAACTGGCATCCAAATGGGATGCTGGTATTTCTAGGCAGAAGATTAGCCAGTTGAGCCAATATGTGAACCCCTCACATTTTAATTTTATCAGACTTCAACACCTGGTGCTAGCATCCCTTTTGGGTACTGGCTCATATCCCTGATGCTCCACTTCTAATCCAGCTCCCACTTTATGGTTGGGAAAGCAGCAGAGGATGGATCAAGTTCTTGGGACCCTGCTCCCCTATGGGAGACCCTGAGGAAGTTCCTGACTCCTGGCTTTGGATCACCTCAGCTCCAGCTATTGCAACTGTTTGGGGAGTGAACAAGTTGATGAAAGAGCTTTTTCTCTCGCCTTCTTTAACTGTCTTTCAAACAAAAATGAGTTTAAAAACAAAGAAATGATTTATTTGTTTGAAAGGCAAAGTTACATGTTCATTCCCAAATGTCTGTGATAGCCCTGGCTGGTCCAGGCCAAAGCCAGGAGGGTGCAGGGGTCCAAGCACTTGGGCCATTTACCCCTGCTTTCTCAGATGTGGTAGCAGGGAGCTGGATTGGAAGGGGAGAAGTGATGACTTGAACTGGCAACTGTAAGGGATGCTGGTGTTGCAATAGGAGGCTTAGCTTACTGTGCTGTAATGCCAGCTCCACAAAGCCCTTCTGAATGTGGTTTACATGAAAGTCACTTTGTACAGGCCAGTGGGTACCAAACAAAGAGAGGCTGGAAGTAGAGTCGCCTAAGTGTCCTTTGCTGGTACTGTTCCAGAAGCTTTGTGCTTGCCTGGCAACACTGCCTGTTTCCTTTCCCTACTTTGTTTTCTTATGAGCATGTTTAATTTTTTTTAATGCAGCACATTATTACAAAAGTTTTTAAGCATCAAAGTTGAAAGAATGCCACTGTCTCGTTTTTCAATGAACTTCAAAATAAGCAGTAGACACCACCAGAACACTTCCACCTCAACAGACACTTCTGCCTGCATCTCATTAAGCAGGATTCAGCTCTGGCTCATGGTTCTTCTATCTTTAGATGCAATTTTCATATGGTAAAACTCACAGATCATAACTGTACTGTTTAGTGGGCTCTGAAAACGGCGAACACCTGGGCAACCCAAACTGCCACCACAATATGGAGCCCCACCTGTGACAAGCGGTTCAAATATCGTTCTGGAGACTGAGACCCTGCCACCCTGGAGATGCCACTTCCTTTTCACAGCTCATGAAGTTCGCGCCGTTCCAGTTGTCCACCAATCAGATGTAACTTCCTGGCATATTACCTAAGAATCCCACATCCCACCCCCCTGCAGCCCCTTCCCCAATCCCCACCCACTTACCAATCTCCCTCAGGCAATCACCTGTGCATCAATACCTTGGGACCCACCTGCAGCCCTTCCCAACACCCCTCCCCACACCTTGCAGGCTCACCTGAGTTGCATAAAGTGGTCCCCACGTGTGCCCCCACCCTTTCTTCCTCTTTGCTCACCCATCAACCCCGTCCCATTCTTACCCTGCTGGAATAAAAAAAAAAAAACTTCCCAAAGTACCTTGTCATATCTGGTGTTTCCTTCTTAAGGTAAAAGGGACTTGGCTGTGGGAATTAGCTGTGTGTAAGAACTTTAAGAACTGTTACTGCGTTTAAAACCTAACACCACCTTTTTAAGATATTTAATTTATTTGAGAACCAGAGATACAAAGCAAGAGGGGGAGGCAGAGAGAGAAAATCTTCCATCCACTGATTCTCTCTCCAGATGGCCACAATATCCGGAACTAGTCCAGGCTGAAGCCAGGAGCCAGGTGCTTCATCCAAGTCTCCTCTATGGGGATAGGAGTCCAAACATTGGGCCATTAGCAGGGAGTGGATCTGGAGAGAAGCAGCTGGAATACTATCTGGTTGCTGCTGTTGGAGTTGGAGTCTTGGCCGGCTATGCCACAACCACACCCTGACACAGACCACTTCAATTGCCCCTCAGATTCTCTCATGGTCTCTGTGCCGGACTCATCAGTCAGTCATGACTGTTTCCCTGGGTTGGTTCAACCTATAGAACT